TGGGTGCCTGGGCTGAGGCAGAACCTGCCCCAGCAGCTCCTGCCCCCTTTTGCCCCTGGCAGCAGGTGCCAGAGCTGTCCCAGTGCAGCCAGCCTGATCCACACAGGACAGGGGAGCTGTACCCAAGTCCCTTGTCAGGGGCATGGGGCTGAAGAGCAAAGGTTATGTCACACTAGGGTAGTGACCAGCCAAAAGTAAAAAGTGTTTAAGCAAACAAAACCCCAATTTCTAATCTCCAGTGCCATTGTAACTATCAGTTGTCAAAGCTTCATTCAGTGCAGTGTTGGTCTTTCTCTGTTGCTTGGCTTTCTTTTCAGAATTTGTGTGCTGGAGCTGCACATTCTGAGGCCTGATGCCTTGTTCCATCAAACCCTGCCTAGAGCAGTGGTTTTCAGCCTATGTTTTCAGTGTGCAGAATCCCAGATCTCTTGAAAATGAGTCTGTGTTGCTATGTAACCAAACTGATGTCAGTAACAGTAGCTTCCTTTCAGTAACTTGTGGCTTCATAGTGCTTACACCAGGGCCATGTGTAGTGGACCACATCTCCCTAGGAATAGCATGAGGGACTTGATGTCCTGCATCTGAGTGTGCCATCTCTCTGTTTTGCTGCCAGCTGCTGTCAACGTTACTGGAAACTAATTTAATGAACTGATTTAAAAAGTGATTTGTACCATAATGCCTTTCTCTTTTTCCCTTTCCCAAAGCAACTTGTAACTGTGCTGATTGGAGAATCTCAGGGCAGGGATTTGACATTTTGGATTATACATTTAATTCCTTGAGCACTTTTTCTCTAAGAGCAGCAGCTGCCTGTCGTTGTTTTTCATTTATTGATTCCTGAATGTCACACACACAAACTAGCCTGCAAGATAAGGATCTGTACAAAGCTTTTCTTCTGCAGAAGGATTACTTGGCTTCCTCTTACCTGGTTAAATCTTAAAAAAGGGAAGAGACTAGTATTTATGATCCACACCAGATCTTTTTGTTCCCTAATGCTAGCTCTGAGAGAGAAGGAATCCAAGGAAGCAGTGTTCAGAAGTAAATTGAAGTGACTGTTCAGACAAAGGATTTGTTAAAAGCCAGTCAAGCTGCTGGCCCAGTCAGGGGCTGTTGCTGCCTGGCTCAGAGGGTGCCACTGAGTCCTCCATAGCTCCCGCTGCAGCGCATGGACATTGGAGCAGGAAGCTTTCCTCTCTGCTGATGTTCAGCTTATGCCCCGCAGCATGTGCTTTGACTATAGTAGCATTTACACATAGATTGGACCACTAATAACCAATAGAGTTGTGTGCTGTAGTTGTTAATACAAAGCCTCTGTTTCTACTCAGTGCATGGTATTATAGTGCATGCTGTGTGTGTTGTCCCTCCAGCTCTTTTATTTACAGTGTTCAGCCTCAGGTTTGTTTGCATCTCCACCCTGTCTTGATTTAAGAGAAAACAATAATCTCCAAATGTTTCTAGTTGCTGATAGCCCAACTCCTCCCCCGCCGCCGCCCCCCGATGAGATGCCGATGTTTGATGACTCTCCTCCTCCTCCACCCCCACCACCTGTGGATTATGAGGATGAGGAGGCTGCTGTTGTGCAGTACAGTGATCCCTATGCAGATGGAGATCCTGCTTGGGCACCTAAAAACTACATAGAGAAAGGTAAGAGAAGCACTGCAGCTGTGTTAGTGCAGTATCAGGGGATTAATGGTGTCTGAAGGGAATGAAGGACTTAGTGTGGGTCTGATGAAAACAGTCATTGTCCCTTCTAAGTCAGAACACAAGCCATGCTTTCCTTAGCTTGTGTCTACACCTAATAATACTGCTTTGGACAAATTATAAAATGCATTCAGGTATTCTAGAATGGGTGCAAAAGCAAGTTTCTTCATGGGAAGCAGATGTAAAAATTGGATGGCTTTCATCTTTGATGAGCTGGACTGTCTGTACCTACCTCAGGATTGCTGGGCAGTCATCTAGAGATTTCTGCAAAATGGTCAGAAATTCCAAGCGTTTATCTCATCAGCCTGGATTACTAGAGTCCATTATTAGACTTAAGGCTATGAAATATGTTGAGGTCTCCTTGGAGATTTATCAGTGACTCCAGATCAGCAGACTCGGAACTGTGCTTAGGTATGAAGTCACGTAGTAAATGTCTCTTCCCATAAATAATGGACAAGCAGATTTCCTGCCAGTGGAGTTGTCTGTGTTGTAGCACTGACCATTTTGTCAGCAGCAGTGCTGCCAGTTTTCTCATGAGCTGGCTGGTGCTGCAGTGAGTACAAAATGGGGACAGGTACTTGTGGTGTTTGTGGCAGAGCTCCTGTGTACCCTCTTCACTTGAGCTGGACTGTGTGCAGGACATACCCAAGGGTTGAAAATAACTGATACAGCACAGCATGCTAGGCATTAAGACATCAGATAGCTGAGATTATATGTAGGTGTAAAATAGTGGATTGTTGGAATCCATAAAGCTGATCAATTGCATAAATCCATATTAACTTTTGAAGGCTAAGGCTGTGATGTCTGAAGTCTGTATATTCACAGTGGTAGTTTTTAACTCCAGCATTGGTGGTGGCAACATTCTTTCCTTGGGGAAATCTCTGCTTTGTTAATGGCACACAGCAAGTTGGAAGTTGGTAAGAATAAGGTAGTACCAAGCAGGTACTGAAAATAGCAGATATTGCCTCTACACTCTTCAGCAACTTTCCTACTTGCCCTCAGTGCAGCTCCTTGAAAAGTAGTTCCAGAACTCCTTATGACATAAAAGCTCTGTAGGAATGCCCATTCATTTGTGTGCAATGGCTTTAGCAGCGAGGTGTGCAGGGCCACACTGATGTACCAACAGGGGCCTCAGTGGAATAATTTTTGTAGAAATTTTTTGTTCTAATCAAGAGATTGATACTAGGACATCCACATGCTATTGAGGTAATCTGGTCAGAAATGAGTGCCACACAAGTCAGGCGTTCCCTAACTCAGCTTTTAAGTGTCCGTAAGCCCCACTTTACTGTGTCACAGTTGGATGTACTGCTCTGCCAGCAGTTTAACTGAGTGTTCAGTTAGTCAACATGCTCTTCTTAGTGCTAGCTAATGCTGCAAGGAAAGTGAAATTCCATTTTCTGGGCTTAGTGTTCAACAGGAAAAGCACGTGAATTCATTACTGAAAATCCCACAACAGCCAACTAATCTTTTAATATTTTCTGAAGTACAATTGTTTTTTAATACTGCTGCTATTAATAAAATGCTAAATGTGTCCCTGTTTATTCCACAGTTGTTGCTATATATGACTATACAAAGGACAAAGACGATGAGCTGTCGTTTATGGAGGGTGCAATCATTTATGTGATAAAGAAGAACGATGACGGCTGGTATGAAGGAGTTTGCAATCGAGTAACTGGCTTGTTTCCTGGGAATTATGTTGAATCAATCATGCACTATGCCGATTAAAATCCTTTGCTTTTCAAAGTTTGGTCTTGTATTCAAGTCATACCATGATTATTTACAAGGGGTAACTAAAAGCTAACAGAATTGTCTTAATATACTTTCAAAAAATTGTGCCCGTTTCTTCAGGCCATACTGTTTTAATGGTATGATTGAATGTCCATCTCTGAGTCTCTGGGGACAGTATGTCTTACCTGATGGCAATTTGTAAAACAAGCAACTGTCTATAACTGGTTATACTTATTTACTTATGCATTGTTAATTTTATGACCAGCCTAATTATTATGGGGAAGTAGGGTATAATATTTAATGAACCATGATCAGATTGTGCCATTACATTTTTCAGTACAGCATGGTAACTAACACTACGTTAGACTAACATATTAAAACCTGGATGAGAAGTTTAATGTTAGTGCTGGTCATATTACTTTTTGTTTAGACTCTTTGCTCATTCTTGAATTATATTTGTTTAAAGCATGCATACAAACTTATGTATTGAAATATACTTTTTTAAAAATCCAAGATGCTTCCAATTGTTGTAATCTTTACCTGGAGTATTCTCACTAAAGTCTATTACAATGAGTTGTTTGGGTCTAAGGTGTCCATGTGATTCAAAAAATGGGTGGTCTTATGTATGTGTAATTTGTACCCAAGTTTTTTTAATGAGTAAATTTACATTATGACTTTTTCCATTCATAAATATATAAGTGAACCAAAGGTCTTGTCCATTACTTTGTTGGTTGGCTTGGCAAAGAATTTTGGAATGCTAACGTAGCAAAATCATGGCTGTGTTATCCCAGGCAATGTACTAAAAAGCAATTGTTTGTAACATGACTTTATCACTGACAGAGGGAAAATAAATTAGATCTGAAACCTGAATTACACACTTATACATACTCTTAAAAATTCTTTTCTGCCCACACTTAGTTTCAGTGAGGGTTCTTGATTGAATTTCATTACCTGGATGCAGTGAGGTGGACACCATCTGTAGCTGTCAGTTCTGTGTGGGAACTCTGTGTGGCTCTGGAGCAGAGGGACAGGAGCAGGCTGTCTCCAGAGAGCACCCAGGGGAACTCAGGGACAGGAACTTGGCCATTGTTATGGGATCACAGGCAGAGATAGCCAGAGAGGGTGTGCTTTCCTGCTCTACAGATTCTGGGGCTGAAATAACCTGAGAAGGAATGTGGTAGTACTGGGTAATTACTGTGAGAGGAATGTGTCTGGGACTTCAAAGGCAGCTTCTAGGGTGCTACAGAATATGTTCTATAAATGAGTGATTAAAGTGATGGAGTTGCAGGTTTGACTGGCTGGTGAATCATTCATTTTTAGTTTGAGTTAGAAATACTGAGCCTTTCATTTTCTGAACAAAAACATTCACTTGGTAACAATCTCAAATTCTGCACCATGTTAACTGCTAGCAGGTAGCCACCAATAGCATAAAGTGAACTCACTGATGAATAACCACTTAAAATCCACTTGTAGTCTTTTACAGTAAACCAGTATCTCTATATACAATTCCAGGTGCTTCTGTTAAGTAGCCAGGGAAACATCCAAACCCCCTCTCTTCAGAGGAGTTTACCAGCTCCTGTACATGCATGCTCTCTTTATTAGTGTAAACAAGTGAAATTTGGAACAGCTTCAGTTTTCATACACTGATTTATTTTCATTGTGGCCTTTGTGCATCAACATGTAAACATCTTCCCCATCCCCCACAATCAATAGCCCCCACTAAAACAATTGTACAGCACAGTTTGATTTGCTCTGAATTGCATGGCTTCCTTCAGTAAAACATTTTAAACTTTAGTTTAAAAAAAAGAAAGTAAAGTAAAACTTCAAAAAAAACAAAAAGAAGGTTTTTTTTAAAAAAATAATTTTTGGTGGCTTGTGTTGTTGGAAGCAAGTAACTTTTGAAATACATGTAGGCACAGTCTGGTAAAGTAGCTGCCAGAAGGAGTGGAAGGAGCTGTCTCACTTGTCCCGCATGAGAACCATTTCTGTCAGGTGCACCAGGGCCTCTCTCTCGGGGGACGGGCGCAGCTTGCGGATCTCGCGCGTGGCCGCGTGGCAGTAGCGCTGGGCGAGGTAGGTGGTTTGCTGCACACCATCACTCTGAGAGAGGAGAGAAAACAGGGACCTCATCAGCCGCCTGCTGCCTCGTCCAGGCACAGGGGAGGTTCTGCAGTCAGTAAGTACCCTCATACATTCTATCCTGATGGGGAAAGAGGATTTGTTCTGTAATTGGGGAAGCCCACCTACCTGCCACAAACTGTCACAGTACTAAAATTCATCCATGCTAAAGCAGCAACTCAGCATCACAAAACACCACTGGTATTAACAACAAAGTACAAACTAATGGCTTATCCCTTCCTCTCCTGCCCTAGAGATTTACAAAACCCCCATGCTATTCTGAAAAATAGGTAATAATTTGGCACAGACCATTACTTAGTCTTTTTAGACCAGAGTAATTTAAAACTGGTATAAGGTGTGCACAGCAGTTACCAGACTGACTGAAAATGCCATGCCATTTATACCAGCTGCTGAATACAGCTATGCCTCAGCTGAAGAACTGAGTTCATGTGTGAGCTTTTTACTTATGGAGATTTTATGCTGTTGGAGGGAAAAAAAGAAAAAAAGTTCTTCAGTACCTAGCATTTCTGCTACAACACTGTGCCAGAGGGAGAACTGAGTTGTTGTTACTTGGCATTGTACATTGCATGCTACTCAGCAGGTATTTGCTATTTTATTTGAGAGGCAATGAATTTCAGACTGAGAGAGCAGAAATATTTGATATCAGTCTTACCTGCAACACATACTTCCATGCACGCTCAACATCTCCTGGCTTACTGAATCTCCTCATTATCATAGCATTCATTTCTGGAAACTGAGCACAAAGGGAGAAGGGTTTGTACTTGCTTTTGAGTTGTTTTCCATGTAGCTGCCTGTCATGCTAAGGTCAGAACACCACCAAAGTGCAGCCCTCTTCCCTGTCACTGCTGCTGCTGCAGGTATAGCTTTAGGTTTGTACTTGCAGTCTGCACAGGAATATAGCAGAGCCCAAGCATTTATAACAAACCTAGCTCTGGCTCTGCTGGCTGTGGCCAATTGGAAGCAGAAGTCAGCACCTGCCATTTTATCATGTTAAGCAGATGTTCCAGTGTGGTAATTTCTGATGTGGCTACTGCCTGGTGAATAATCTGCATCAGATACTCTGACAGATGATGATCAGTGTTGGCACTCCTGGAAGAAGCACCTCTGCCCCCAGATGTACAGAAAACCCAGGATGTTAGTTGTTGCAATATTGTACATTCAACTTGTAAAATCCCCTTATGGTAACACTGGCTGTTACATTCTCTTACATTTTCCATTGGGCTGGTATTTTATATACACAGATTTTTTTGCTTTAGTAAGAGAAAAATGACATCTATAAGGTATTTTGTTTTCAGCCATGTAGCATTTGTAGTTAGCACTGCAGGCTCAATTCCCTACAAATCAAGCAGGTAACTCAAGTCAGTTGTTTTGAGAAAAATCACATCACTTAGGTAAAAATGCAGCCTCTTTCTTAAGACAGCCTAGAAACAGAAAAACCTAGTGCTTAACAAAATAAGGCTACAACTCAAGGCAGCTACTCCACAGAAGAATTCTTTTTAAGGGAAAGAAAGAGCTGTTTGTTCATCTTGCCTGAGAGGATCAGAGTCAAACAAAGATGATTTTATTGCCATATACTTGTAAACAATGATCTGCCTTCCTTGCACACCTTTGGGCCTGCAACTGCAGCTTTACAACCTCGTTCAGGTACAAACATGTAGCACCCATCAGTGCTGTGACAGTCTCCTATTAGTCATACACAGTCCTGGAGATGCATTCAGAAGTTCAGTGATGACTCATCCTTCATCTAAAAGAGGAAAGTCATGGCTTTTTCTAGATCCTAGCTTCCTTGTCAGGTAATGACAATTTAATTGCAGTGTTCATGCAATCAGTTTTCACATTATTCATATTTACAGTTATATAGGATGCATATGGGATCACTTTTTATATTTAAGCACTAAAGGACATGAAAATCCCCAAACTTGTAAGGCAGAGCTGTTATTAGCAATTCTGCCTATTTAGTGGGCAGCAAATCAGCATTTAACAGGAATGCTTATAATAAAAATAAACCTTTCTTCTTCAGCTGTACTTGTTTAAGAGGAGCTTTAGAATTAGCATACACTAGTGGATTTCCTTAAAAAATAAATGGGGTGTTGTTTTTTTTACTGAGAGAGCTTTAACTTTAAATACTGAATAAATAGTTAATTTAACTTTAAATACTGAATAAATAGATACTATATCAAGGTAAACACTTTTTTCTCCTTAATATATTCTAATGCACAAAGGTGTATTTCAGAGGCAGGGGAGAGGATAGGAAGAAAAGGCATCTGCCACTGAAGATCCAGAGCACATTAAAAACTAAAGAATGTTTGTCAGGAAGACAACTGGAAGAGTACCAGCTACATGAAAGGATAGCAGCAATACTAATCTGAAAAGACAGCCTATAATTAATAATTACACTTTGGACTGTCTTCAAGTCCTGGCTCATGAGTTTTTTTCCTCAGACACAAATACATGAAATATCTTTTAGTAGCATCACCAGTGTCAGTTGAAGGTCCACATTTTTTAGCACTCATGCTTTGTTTATATATCAGTTAAGTCTGCAGTGCTGTTGTTCCAGTTTCTTGAAAACAGCAGGACATTTGCAGCAAAGAAGCCTTCTGGATAATGCAGAAAACTTTATAAGATGGTCATATTATATTTCAATGCAAAAATGTACAGTTCCCATCTATCAAATATATAAATGAGGAAAAGCATTTAAAAGTGGCCTACAAAGAACAAGATTTTAAAATAGGACGGACAGATTTTATTTCATTTCTATATTATGAACTAATTTATCTTGTAAAGCTAATTAAAAGATAGATGAAGTTCAAAGTCAGAGACAGACAACCCAAACAAATGAGTAAGAAATAGTTTTAATTTAAAAATTGGAATATTCAACACCCACAAGACAATCAATGTCACCCATTCTCTGCCACAACTGGGTATTTGCAACATGCCTTGTTTCCTTCTGCACGTGGCTTTAGCACACACAAAAAGAGTTTTACAACTCCATCCTCCCTCTCTGCCTGTGTCTCACTGTTCTTTGGACAGCTCCAATTGCTGATGACACAGTTCTGAAATAATCATTCAAGAATATGCTTGTGAATCCCCCCAGATGAGTATGGGGAGACACTGAGGACACAGAGAAGGTTGTTCTCAATATGCATTCATCTGCTTTGTCAGTTGGCTGATACTCTGTGCTCCTGTCTGTTCTGAGATACAGATCCTTGGAAATGCCCAAAGGACAAGGAAGCAAACAGATGTGAATGCTCCACCTCCCCCCACAACAGGCTCTTTTAGAGGGGAAGTAAATGTCAAAGTTGCTGGGCTTTTTTAAATGATTTAGAACTTTTCCCATGTCAAGCTCAAAGCAATTCCACTGAGAGATCATAGATGAGAGCTCTACAGGAACTAACTGTGCCAGCTTTTATATCACACTGTGGAGCCTGGCAGGAAGGACTGCTTTTTAAGTCCCAAATCTGCTTGTCTCTGGTGAACAAGACACTAGAGCAAGGAATTAAACCAGTTTCTTTCCTTTTTATGGATTAGCACCAATTTTAATGTCTTTTCATGCTGCTCACGCTTCTGTTTTCATTTTGATCCTCCAAATAATTTTTAAGGCACTGAAAATCTTGACCAATTTTAAGCCTGTTTTATTTACAACAGTCCCTTTTCTCTTACCCAACCTTCAGACAGGAAACCTACTCCTGTTTGTAAATGGATAATACTTGAGGACAAAGAGATGAAAAGATCAAATCCAGTAAATAAAGGTATCCACCTAAAGGCAAGGCAGGGATTTAAATTCTTGGCCCCAGATGGATACAAAGCCCAGAACAAGGCAAAAAAGCCTACATACACAGTCAAGGCTGGGAAGATGATGTTTTCAGGAGAAAACACAAGCAAGAAGCTACTTAGGAATAACCTACGCAAAATGTCCTAAAACTCTCAATACCCTCAAGAGCCTAACAGTAAGTAGAGTTGTGCAGGAAGGTGTTTCTCAGAACTTCTTGTGTGTGCACAGAATCCATCTGACACTGAACCCACTGATTTGTCACAGGTGCCCAGGCCCCTCTCATCACTGTCACTGGAGATCTGATGTGTTTCAGCTGGCCCTGTGAGGAGCAGTTTGCATTTTTCATTCCTGCTGACTTACCTGTCGACAGGCAAATAAGACAGGGCCTGTGGCTAATCCAAGCTTGAGATCTGCTGCTGTTGGTTTCCCCAGGTGGTCAGCACACGATGTAAAATCCAGCACATCATCTATCAACTAAAAAAATAAACATACAGATTATTTAAAATTTCTTTTTCAAGTATTAGAGCTAAATACAGAACAATCCTTGTTAAAGACAAGATTTGTAGGAAGGATTAAGACAGCCCACTTTGATTTCTAAAACACTTTGGACAAGTTTAGAATTTAGATTCCATTCAGTTCAACAAAAACACTACCTGAAAAGCTATGCCAACGTTTTTCCCATACTGGTATGCAATCTCATGAACTTTGGGATCAGGGCAGCCTAGAATTGAAACCTGAAAAGACAAAAACCCCAAGTAAATAGAAAGCTTTAGTTAACTAAAAGTTAGCACTTTTAGCCCCTGACCATAGGTGTGACAGCCAGCACAGGCTGGAGGGATCTGGGAAAGGCAAAAAAAGCTGACTTGGGCACATTCTGGCTTATCTCAGTTCATGGAGACACAAAACTGGCCAAGCTTACTAGAAAACAAGGCTGAACAACAGTGCAGTATTAAAACTACATTCACATCTGCAAAGAGATTAGCTTCATTAAATATTTATCAGGCTTAGAAATTACAATGCAAGGATAAAGAGAGAAGAAATGTGGATGCACTTTACATGCAGGGAGGGTAGTAGTTGTATCCAGTCCAGTGATGGGGAAATTAAACTAATTACATACATAAATCAGCTAGGGGATAATTGGAGGTCAGATAGCAGATAAATGGACATTACATGTCTCATAAAAGATCACAGAGCTGGATGTGTTGGACCTGGTACAGTAGGGGCAGTTGACATAAGGCTGATTATTTTTAAGGTGATGTTAACTGTATCTGACTTGCTCAGGAAGATGACTTGATTAGCCTGCAGGCAAAGCTACTGAGGGATAATTAGTGGCAAAGAAAAGACAGCAAATGAAGAAAGCACACCAAGCTCACAAAGGTATCACTAAACTGAGATAAACAAAACATTTTACATGAAAGTACAATCAACTACTTGAGAGACAGAAATTTTGTTGAATAAACTCCACAAAACTAAAATACAGGACATTAACTAAGGTTTGAGAATAACTATCTTGCCTCGAAGTAAGGGCATTTATGCTATTTGCATTTATGTACCAATTATACATTTTGCAAAATGAGGTTGGTTAAATACTCAGATTTATTTCAACCTTCAATAAACCAATTAGAACAGGGGACAAAAACCCACCCTGGTTTATTGCAGGCATTCCAAATCTGCTGTGACCAATGCAAGGAGTGAAGATACATTTTACTTAAGACTAAAAATATATGCTAGGAAAACACAATATAAAAATAAGTATGTGTGTGTGTGTGTATGTATGTATATGTATTCCTCTTTAAGACTGTGTAAGGCAGGAACATTAAAAACCCCTCCAACCCCAAAACCAGCCCCAAACTAAAAGCATGTCCAGCAGTAGCTTTGAAGGTGAACATGAAGATGGAAATAAGAAACAATATTACATCCTAATAAATGTGATGCAACTTGCACAAAATGGGGGATGATTTCATGCAGCAGTGCACTTCATATCTGAGCATCAGAACACTTCCCAGTTATAACCTGCATCTGTGAATAACTAAACCCCAGAGGAATCTGGATGACTGAGAAATTAACAGCATCACACATTCTCCACTTTTACTTAAAAGAGGACAGTATAGCAGGAAAATAATGCTACTTTTCTCTAATAATCATAGAAAATCCTGAAGGCTATTAAACAGAGTGAACTGCAAATATGAGATATTGAAATAGATGTTGCTAGGGACTATCAAAGTAGAACATTTTGCCTTTTTATCCTTCTTTTGATGTTTGTCTCTTAAATAGCAGTATTTGCCCGAAGACCTAACATCTACTGCTAACTTTTTGTTGCTTCTATAATATAAATCACATAATGTCAGCATGGCAGGGGGACTGCATCTACCCTGTTCCAATGAAATCCTTACCTACTTCCACATTTCATTCCCTGTGGAGGATTAAAATACAGAATTCAGTGACAAAATCCTGGTTAATGGCAAAGGGTCAGAGTGGGCAGAAGCTGGCAGAGGGTGGGAGGAAGCGTTGTGTAAAGAAAAGAGCTTCCTCATTTAACCTGAAAGGTCAATTCTTGTTCATAGATAAAAAAAAATTAAAAATTTGGGAGATTTTTTCTGCCAGTCATCCTCACGTGAGCAACCCTCTGACCATGACCACATAATGAACCTGCAGTTGGGTTGTGTCTATCAGGGAGTTCCTTCAGGATGCAATTTCTCACACTGCTGTTGAGGATTGTTGCCCCCAGCTGGACACTGGCCGGGCTGCAGCCAGGCAGCCTGGCACTCCCACATGGAGTTTAACTGGAGCTGTACTGGGATAATGCTCTGGATAATACCCACATTTGCAAATACAAATCAGGATAACCAAGTCAATACAGTGATGTGTGTTTAAATGATAAAACTCCCCCTTTGAAAACAGCCTAGAGCTCCCCAAATAGGTATGACTGGCTCATGACAATTTAATCTTGCAAGAATTCAGGCCTGTCCTCCACTAAATCATGATGAAAAATCCTTTCTAATACCAAGTGAAACAAATTCTTTAGAAATGTTCTTTGAATTCAGCAAAGCAGGACAATCTCCTTGGTGTTATTTCAAACACACTTTTTGCAATTAAAAAGTTGTTTCTCTTATGTTATATGAGAGACTATAAACCAAATTTGCCTCTTTACCGAATTTCACATAATCAGCTCTGGGGAGATACATCCTGCTCTGATATTTAATATGTGACAATATGGCAGCTGGAGTTGAAAGCATTTGCACATCTCTACCAGTGCTATGTAGGTCAGAGAGGACAACCTGCTGCTGGGCCAGAATTTGCTTGAATAAACACTACAAGAGATGTTAGTTCCTGTAGTCCTAGATTTGTGGCCTCCATGGAAAGGAAAAGGCTCTAAAATCTGCTCCTTTCCAGCCATTCTCCTCCATGCCCATCTCCAGAAGCAGTCAGGTTCCTGCCTTCTCATTCCTGGCTCACCCACTCCTGTTTTTCTAGGCAGGAGCATTATTCCTTTCTCCAGGAGAGCCACAGAATAGTTTAGGTTGGAAGGAAACTCTGAAAGTCACCTGCTCAAAGGAGAGTTGACTTCACAGCCAGAGGTGTTATTTTCCTGGGCACCAGTTGCACATGCTGGTAGGGTTTTGTGATGGAGCCCTGTGTACACACCAAACTAGGAACTGGTTAGAGCAGGAGCTCACAGAATATCCAGAGCTTCAGACTATTGGTTTCTCCAGTGCCTTACACAAGGAGGCACAAGCTTCCTCCTAAATATGGAAATCAACAATCTCTAGTACACCCTTACACTCAAAGCAAGCAGGATTTAATCCCTTATCTGAAAGTATACCATGCAAAATATAAATAGCTTTATGAGGCCCAGGAATTCACATTACTGCAGGGTTTAAAAAAGACAGAAAACCTGCTCAGGTTATTTTGCTATTTCCAGCTGGCCTGATGACTAAACAGAAATTCCACTCCAGCTTTATTGTTTCTGAATTCTTGAACTAAAGTCACCTCATGTTTCTCTGAAAAATGCCTTGCAGTAACTAAGGTTTCAATGACTCTGGGCCATCTGGCACTGCCTCATTTTACAATACACTTTAATTGAAATTTTGGTAACATTCCCCCATGCAGAACTGTTGTAGAAAGAAACTGGAGACTGGGATGGCTCTTAACATCTTGAACAGACTGTTCTCTCTCTAAGTCCTAACTTAAAGAATTTTGATTTAAATGCAGTAAAGCTTTGGTGGTACAGAATGCATCAATTACAGTGTATGTCTTGTTTAGATCTTTTTGCAGGAATACTCTCCTCTTCCATTTCTAAGGCATGGAATTCTAAGGTGCCACCTGAACCTGTCTGACATCTCCTTTCCATTTAATACTTGTATTTATTCAATCACAGCAACTAATCAGGTTTTTCCTATCATTGACAGGAACAAACTGCTTCTAAAACCCACAGTCTCTCCTCTTAATTTTGTCCCTGAAAACAAGATATGAATACATGAATACTCTTGATTCCCTAACTGAATTTCCTTTCAAGATAGAACTGATGATCCTGCTTATCATTTTTGCTAGAGAAAACAGAACTCCCTTCTGATTCCATTTCTTCAGAAGCCAAAGCCACCTAAACGAAAATATCTCAACACTCACATGCAACAAAGAAAACCCCAAATAATCCCTTTTAACTGCTATCAATAGAGCTCTCCTAATCCACACAGAAAGAAACTGAGGGAAACACACATATTCAACTCATTGGTACTATGTGCAGCGATAAGGATTTGCCATGAAGAGAGACCTTCTCCCTCTGTTTTCCTTTCTAACACAGATTTTACAGCATATAAAGCTCCAGCAGTTCAGCAATGGACAACTCAGACCAGCCACTAGAAGAAAAGCAGCCAAACACCCCCCTGACCAGCATCACAGCCTCAGTCTTAAGGGAAGTGCTTCAATCTTTAACTCTTGCAAGTCATGAAAAGGAAAAAGCTTAAATTAGCACATCTGTAGGGAGAATCCACCCAGTGGCAATGTGATTTCTTCCATCTGCAAAGATTCTTTTAGGCAGACTGTCAAAATGAATATTAAAACTTGTGTATGTTTTTTCTGGGGTAGCAGAATAATGTGATGCTCTTTACTAGTCCAGGTGCCTACTGATATAAAACAAGACTTGCAGAAGAAAATTATCAGGGTCATATTGCCATTAATATGAGCAATCCAGAAGAATTTATTTCTTTCTTCCAACTAGAATAAAAGGTATTTTTCCTTCCCCAAAATCCATGTGTCTCATTCTATGTGATCATTTTAATGTAAGCCATTTTCAACTGCTGTCTGTTGCACAAATGCACCAGTTCCCTGAGAACAAAGGAAGATGATTAACACTAGCACAGATTTTTACTCTAATTCTTTAAGAATTCCACTTGCTATAGAATCCATAAGAACATAATCTTGAATTGGATCTTTTTGTAATCAAGTAAGAGAACCGAGTGACAGGGCTGGATAAAGTAATTGGTAATTAAAACCTCCAGACAAATTAAGATAAATTAAGTACATGCTTCTGGTTTTTTACAATGTGATGTAGAGATATCAGGAAAATGTTTTCACCCAGAGGGTGGCTGGGCACTGGAAAAGGCTCCCCAAGGACGTGGTCACAGCACCAAACCTGACAGAGTTCAAGAAGTGTTTGCACAATGCTCTCAGCACATGGTGTGACTCTTGGGGTGTCCCATGCAGGGACAGGAGTTGGACTTGATGATCCTGATGGGTCCCTTCCAACACAGCTTATTCTCTGATTCTATAATGGTTTCTTCCCACTGTTACCACTTAAGGTCTCACTCAGCACCAATGAGTAGGGCCAGATGCCAAAGAAGTCTTAAAATCAAATTATAGACTCAAAAATGATCAACTGAGTTTTTAAAACCACTGTCTCAAAGTTCCAGAATTACATAAATTGAAGATTGCCATTGTTATGATTATTTGAACCTTATTTTGATTCTTGAGAATAACAATAAATCTGTGTATAAATAAAAAACTCAAAGAAAAAGTGAAAACCAATATTGGAGGCTACACAGCTGAACTGTGATAAAATTCACAATCTCCAACCCTTTCACATTCTGGCAGAATACCATTTCAGGGTTTTGCTTTGGAGGGTCTCCAGAGCAAAGAGCAATGCTGGTTTAGCTGTGAAGCTTACAGTATGGTATGTTAACTCAGAAGAGACAGACGTACATACTGCTTTACAACTGTTGGCTATCAGACTCGCTGTCTTCTTAAAAGTCTTCTCGAGGTAGTGAGCAAATCTCTCATTCTCGTTTTCCTTGGAACCCAGCTGGAGGAATTCACCTAAAAAGTTGCACAGAAAGGAGGTTTTATTTGTGGGTTTACTGCTTAGGCAGGAAAATTGGAAGATTAAAACAGGAAAAAACCTTACCACGCACCAGATCTTCAATCACCTGAGTCAGAACAGAGATGATAGTGGTATTTCCAATTCGTGCTAAAGCTACAGAAGCAGCTGAGAGGATGAAGTCGCCAGCTAGAACAGCCTAACAACAACAACAACAACAAGGTGATCCCTTAAGTCTTCTCCTGTGTTACTACTGACCATACAAGTTCTTTTAATTGTCAGACCTACTCACATTACAAAACCTTCCTACATAAAGCACAAATATCTCATTTCAACAGCGAAAAAACACATAACATATAAATATTGAAATCTGAGTAATTTTTGAGTCCCGATCATATAGTACTGGTTATATTTTTCTGTATAAGCACTGTCCCCTCTGTATGCAGTATGTGTTTGCTTATGAAGCTTTTTTTAACATTAGTTCTCTATTTCACCATTCTCTTGTGGCTCTTACGCCATGTGAACTCTGAACTGCTTCAAGTTCCTTCCCTGTATTTTCTGGTGAAGACCTTTCTCGTAATGCTCTGTGAAGAAAACACCAATTTAAAAAAAAATTCCCCACTGACTGAAAACATTTTTGTATTCACCACTGAATCAGCATTTAGGATGAGGTACAAGTTTAAAGTATTTCAACAGCACTGCAGAGAATGGCACAGGGAATGCCAAAATCAGTAATAATCAGCAATAATCACAAAATGGGCCAGGTTGGAAGGGGCCAGAGTCATCTGGTCCAACCTTCCTGCTCAAGCAGGGTCATCCCAGAACACATGGCACATTATTGCATCCAGATGATTCTTGAATCTCTCCAGTGAGGGAGACTCCAAAGCCTCTCTGGACAATCTGTTCATATTCAGGTGGAACTTCCTGTGCATCAGTTTTTGTCCTCTGCCTCTTGTCCTATTACTTGAGAAAAGCCTGGATCCATCTTTGTGACACTGCTTTCAGATATGTACGAGGGCCCCTCTCAGTCATCTCCTGTGGAGGCTGGACAGGTCCAACACTAACACACTTCAACCATTCAGTAGGTAATGCTTCCAACAGTTCAGAAAAGGAAAACACATTTGTCTCACCCACAAGCTGTGCACACCTCTTCATATGTTTTCTGACATATTCCAAGACCTAGCCATACAAACCTCTAGGTATTTGTGCTCTGCTGAAATTCAAAGGCAAGCCTTGCACGTATTAGCAAACTCACTTTCCTCTCTCCCCAGATTTGATTAAGTGTCCTTTTTCCTCTGCGAGAATTTGCATCATCAATGACATCATCATGAACTAGACTGGCTGTATGGATCATCTCAGCAATTATGGCCACAGAGCGCTGGCTTGCTTGCACCTCCCTAAAATCAAAAAACAAGAACTGTCAAACAATTAAATCAATTCTATATGCTGCAATACACTACAGAATCTCTATTAAAAACCAAACAAAAAATGTTCCTCTGAAAACAGCTGTCACAGCTTTTTCCTGGTCTCACCCCTTCTTTCAAACCTGGAATTAGGAAGACAAGAGAAAGTAAGATCACATTAGTACAGTAAGTGCAGAGGGATGGATCCATCCTCATAAGGCCCATTTCTACATTGCTGCATTAACAGTACTGCAAAACTCCTGTGTTATTGACTGTAATCCCTCTAAATCCAGACTGCAATAAACAGCACAGCATCAAGGATGCTTGGTTCCAAGACTGACATTTGGAAAACAGCAGAGAAAAGAATGACAGGTAGCTCTGTAGATGAGTTTTAAGTTCTCCTTATCTCTGTTGCTCTACCTATAATCGTGGCATCACAAACTCTACAGCTGGATAACTCTACCAAGCAGCAAGCTGGAGAGATCAGAAGGAACAGAAACCTGCATTCTACATTTGAAAGATATAACTCATAGATCTTCTCCTTTATGTTATGTGATTACCTTAAAACCCCAGAGGTTCTTCAGAAACCTGAGGAATTAACTAGGATTCTACTGCAAGCACTTTAACACTGTAAACACCAAATACCTAACACTTATTGGAACTCAGCCTTTGGGAAGATCTAACACTGATGATTCAACTCTCAGTAGTTCACACTACTTTTTTTTTTTTAAACTAGGTGAAAAGAAGTTAACAGAAGAACACAGAAACAATTCTCTAGAGAACAAAACTGGCAAAAAGCACATAAAAGAGCCAACCTAGCTCACATAAAGGACCATCTCCCTTAGAATCCATCTTCCACTGTCTTCTGGTATTTTTCTGTTTTCATCATGGGTTACATGCAGGATCCCAGAAATGGCCATCCCAGTCAGTCTTGCCTCATAGGTGTAACAAGGGCACATGGACCTTTAAAATGCCCCACATACAAAACAATAACACAAAAAAACGAAAACCCACAACACAAGAAAGAAACTACTTCTGATATATAAATAATGTACCTCTGGTACACAGACAACAGAGAAAATCATACTATTTTACAGGAGAACAGAAAAAGAACTGAGCCAGAAGATAATTTCACCACAGCTAAGGGAATTTAAAACTTTCCTGCACTGCCTATGTCCTTTAAAATGTAGTGATTAATCACAAAATGAAAGAACATATTGCAGTCTGCTGACATAACACTGCATTCTGACACCTACCTCTGCACAGAATTCTGCACTGCTGTCAGTGGGAGTTCTACATCCTGAACAATAGCAGGATGAATGGGTAGCTCATAGGCTGTGAAAATATGGCTTTTACACAACACAAAATAAGAGCTGGAAACCTTCATAGTTGTTTGGAGGCAAGTCTTAATGCAGACTAGTGATTTAATCAAATGCTAGTTCAGTGTAAATAGTTTTCCAAAACAAACTACTCTTACTAAGTAGGAGAAAACTTACCTTCAAAAAACTGTAAAGGTCTCCAGCCTCTTTCATGCACTGTTCTCCTTTTGGGGATTCCCTTTTTCATTAATTATGTCAGCAGACTGGACTTCCTGCTGGGAAGCAGCAGTAAATGGCAACACTCACTGACACACTGAAATATTTCAGTAGTATGAACACAGCACAAAACCAGTTATTTCAAAAGCAGGTTCTGAAAAGTTCTGCATTATACTCTTATCTTATCTCTGACAATGACTAAAAATGGCATAGGAATGTTCATGGTTTCCAGAACACTGTATCAAATGTGACAATTTCATCTGAAGGGGTTTTAAAACTACTATTTCCACAAAGTCTCAAGCAAGGTTCTACCCACTGCTGGCAAAAAAGTTCTGCAATCGTTTCCTGCATGCCTCTTGTGAGACTAATTCTAGATCAGAGCATGCCTACTTTTAGGGGAAAACACACAAACCCCAGGATCTTTCTCATCCCCTGCCATTTTTCATTCAGCTTCTCCTGCAAAACAAAAGCAAAAAGTGGCAGTAACTGAATAGATAACAGCAAATCCAGTAAGTGGAAAGATGCCATTTTTAGGTCATTCTCAAAGTAAAGACACCCTGAGCTGATGTATATTTACAGATATTTTATAGAACTAATCATGTTCTGTCCTTCAGTAGGACCCCCTGTTTGATTCAGTTATAAGGTTTTATAGATGTGCTGTACCCTGAGGTGTTTTCCATTACAGAACTTTTTTCATGAACACTGAACAAGCCAAGGCTGACCACACAGGTTAAGAAAGCCCAAATGTCTCCCTCCAAACAATCCAGCCCAAAACCAAAACAACCAACCAAAACCACCCAACAACGGTGAGGGCCAAACTCAAAACCACACAAACCAGTATTTACACTCTCCAACAAAAAGCTTGGAGGCAGTGTGTTTGCCAATAAGTAAATATTGCCAGTTTAAGGACAGGAAATGAGAAAAGAACTTGCAACATTGTTGTGCTATGGCCACAGTCCTTCCAGCATCAATCTCCTGCTAAGGCCCTGGGGCTAAAAGAAGCAACCATCTCAGAAACAGAGTCTGTGACACAGAAGGGCACTGCAAAGCACAGAGACTGCATGTGCTAACACCAGAGAAAACTGCAGAGCAGCTGGCACCAAGGGCTTTTGACAACAGCAGTTTGGAGGAGTGAAACAAAAGGAAACTAAGGTTGTTGGCAGGTTCTATCTTTAGGACATATTCAATTTTCTTTTATTGCCATTTTATTTGTTTCTCACACTATTCTGATAAATTTATTTCCCCTCCCCAGGTTTGTAGAAGAGTAGCAGAGTTAAAAATATGCAGTATTACTTCTCTACATACACAATTTTTCTCACAAACATAAAAAAAGTTGTAAGAACACCTTGCCACCTGGAGACAATGTTGCTTTAAGAAAGAACAATAATGAATCAATCATAGTATCAATGTGAACTGAAGTGTGTATGTATATATATATATATATATACACCCAGAGCAGGTGTAAGACAGCCTGCTTCAAGCAGCTTAAAAGCAAAAGAGAAGAAAATGTCCATAAAACTTTATCAGCTCACAGGAACTGGGTATCCACAGTACAAATGTAAATTCCTTTTGCATGGCCTTGCCAATCCTCAAAAGCATTGGCCACCATGCAATAACCAACAAGCAGTACAGTGAAGACTTGTATCAACATTAGGGATATTTAATTACAATCACAGGCTTGGACAAATTGTCACAGGGCACAGAACAGGAAGGTAAATACCCTGAGATTTCATTCCATTCCTTTGCTGAAACACTTTTTCTCTTGCCACTAGAAATTCATTCTAAAAGCAACATGACAAAGATGGTGACTCAGCCTGGTTTGTACTAGGAATGTTCAGATTATTGAGGAGGCCTTTGAAACACTGAACATATTTTGGAGGTGCTGATCAGAACCACAACAGATGTACAAACACTGCCAAATGACACAGACATCCAGAAACCAGAGGACTTATGCTGAGGGCTGGCTACTGCAAAGCAAACACTTGCCCCAGGAATGTGTGGCAGTTTCTTACTGGCATAGGGCAGGTCTCAAAACAGGCCCTGATAGTTCTGAGACAGTATAACAATGTGGACAAGAATATGTCCATGAGCATATACATATGTCAAAAGACAGCAAATATGCTTTGAGCATACAGGCAAATTCAGTCTTTCTACTGCTGCCTCTCTCTGATTCACTGCTCTGCTCCCACACTGTATGACATCAGTTCCAGCCTTCTCAGTACTGCACACATGATTTTGTTCATAAGCTTTTCATGCTACACACTAGAATGAGATAAAACTATTTTTACCATTTTTTTGATTCCAAAGATGCTCCAAAAACTCACTGTCCCTGTTGTTAAGTCTCCTCCTAAATTTCCATTATCTTAGAAACACAATGCTTTGTTTTAAGTAGCTCTTTCACTCTGTTCCTGATAAATTTGTAGACCACAAGTCTTCAATCTTCATGATTATCCTACCAATCCATCCCTGAAGCCAGCTGGACTTCACTTACTTTGAGCACAGGGATAAGGGATGCTGATGATCTCAGGAAGTGTGATATACACTCCTGTAGCTGACCTGGATGGCTGATGCATGCTAGGGTATCTTTGAGGGTTTTCATAACAAAGGTGGGTGCAAACCACACTGGGGTTATGCCCTAATGCGACATCTGAGACCCTACAAGCTCAAGCAGAAAGTTTTGGTTTGCTGTGCTTCCTTACATTTCACCACAGATGGATGGTCATCAAGAATGACTCTGTCATCAAAAAGTGCCCTCCTCACACTCCTGTTCTTCATGTCAAGGTCACTCATGAATATATTAAGCCAGTCTGTGGCAAAAGGTATCCCTGAGGATTTGCACAACCAATATTGTTCCTTTTGCTATCTCAGAGTCAATGACAAGAAGCAGTCCTGAACTGACAACAGAATCTGGCTGAGGCAAAGTTCATTAATCCTGGATGACTTTTCCTAAAACAAGAGGAACTGGCACACAGAGGAAAGGACACTGCCAGCTCAGTTTTGCTTTCTCCTTCATAATTATATTCACATAGAAGGGACTACAGGGGGAGGTGCTATCCATGCAACAAAATACATGCCATGCTCTGAGGTAGTAATCAAGTCCACCAAGGCATTAAACTAGTCCTACAGAGAGAAAACAGTGCAAGAGCTCAGAGAAATCCCTTAAGACCGACAAATTAGTCTAGAAACACTTCTGGAAAGGGACCAAAGATTATCTACTTGGAATTCTATACAAGGCAAGACTGGAAGCATAGCTGGAAGGCAACTGGAGAACACTCCAGCCAACATCTTTCCTCAAAATGCAAACATAGCAGCTGACAGGAAGGTGTGGAGTGAAGCATCTGCAACGAGCCAGACTCAGGAGTGACAGAGAATACAGGCCAAGCATGATCTGCTCAGTTAAAACTGCTCTCAAGTAACGTGGAGATCATAAGGATTACACCAGACTAATTAGCTTAGAATCTTACATAAAGTGTAGAAACTTGCTACTAGAGGGTGGGAAAAAAAACCTCTTACTGTTTTCAAAATCTCACAGCTTTGAATATAATCATACCAGCTCTTTAATAGCTTTTCTGCACAATTACTAAAAAAATCTCACAGCAAACTTATCACAGCAAACTTCTTACCTGTGACCAGAGTTTAATAGGAACAGGAGTGGTTACAAATGAAAATACTTAAAGAAGTTTACATAGTTTCAAAGAGTATTAAAGGTTCTAATAAAGCATTTATGCAAGGAGGTAGAATTGACTAAAGCCTTACAAATATAGTAATTCAGCAACATTATTTATCCACCCTGCTTACAAGCACAGTATAGTTCCACAATTTAACACAGGGAAATACGTAATAAACCCAGCAGTTCCTTTTGCACTGACAGCTACAAAAATACAGCTTCAAGATGGAACTTACATTCAGGTTTTCCTGAGGAGCATTTTATTTTCATAAAGTATTTTTCAGAGACACAAGAATGAGATATGCACATCATGCTTGAAAGTTATCAAAGTGACCAACTCACTTGGAATTATTATGGTGAATGTTGCAGGCCCGAGCCATTAGCACCACAATCATTGGTCGAAAGGCCTTTCCCTTCCCATCAAAGTAATAATCACACATTTCCTTAAGTTCTGCTGCAGACACCAGCAATTCCTATAAAAAGGACAAGAGCATTTCAGCATAGAAGTCACAAAGTCCGTCTGCTTAGTGTAAATACAACAGTATGCATGTATAAGGTTATTGCTTACATTCATTCCACCCAGTGTAAGCTCAAGTTATTTTTAAAATTACTATGAGTAATCTGAAATGTAAATGATGCATTCCAGTGCTGCAAATCAGAAGAAAAACTGCATTCTTGTTCTACAAAATATTAGAAATGCACCATTTCCCTTCAGTTTAAGTTTCAGACAGCAGTTCATAAACATAAATAACATTACTTCAATAAATATCCAAACTGATGGCTCCTAATAAAAACAATCATCATGACATGCCACCATAGTCACCAAAATCCCATACCTTTTTAATATCTTCATAGAGATTCTTCAAGTCTTTTCTACCAAGTTGAAAAGGGTCTTGGTATTTTTCATCACTAATTGTCTTACTGCAGCTGCACCAGTGGGATGAACTTGTATGATGAAACCTGGGGACAGTGTTTTTCAAGAGTAGGCTTGTTAGAAGTCATGTTCCCCTGATTCCCCATACAGAAACGTCTGAAAGGGTTTCTTTCTCTCCCTCTCCCCTCATACCCCATTTAACCAAATGGCTAAAATATATGAAGACATCAAAACACTCTTTTTCAGACAGACAGTAAGGTGCAAGGACAGAAAAGCTGTGTATTGATGATCATAAAGCTTTGGGACCTGGCAAAGTGCATTTGGCACACACACACTCTGCCCTTAAGAGACCCTAGATATTCTGAGCCCCAGAACATCACCTTGCTCTCCATCTATTCCTTTTGAATACACTAGGGATAGTGTAGCCTACATTTGCAGATAGAGCCCTTTCTTCTGGAAACCCAACTGTTCTGTTACTTTCTTCTCTCTCAGGTAAACTCCTGAAAAAATATTCCTGACTTAGATTTGATATTTTTTCCTTTGTATACCCAGCTACATAATAAATTAAATCAATACTTCCAGGTAGCGTGATGGTGCTAGGAAAGCTCATCAGAAAAGGTTGAAAGCTCCACCTGGATGCATTAAGATACCTTTAGCTTAGGAGATTTGTTTGTTTGTTTCCTGAATTTGAAGTTTCTTCTTCTTCTAATGTTTCCTTTCCCAAAGTGAACCCCATGTATTTTCTTGCAACATTCTTGCTTTGCCTGTTACTCTCCAGGATAGACGACTGAGACTCAGACTCAGCACTACAGCAGCAGTGTAGACTGGAGTAAATAACCTTATTTTCAAAGTTCACAGCTCAGAGGTGTAACTGCCCAGTTCACCCAATAACTCTGTCCTCACCCGCTGCACAACAATGTGAATCTCCAACTTACCGCCAAAATATACTACATATTTTTGGAAACGAGAAAGTTGAACTTCTTTGGGTAATGTGACACATCTGCAAAAAATAAAACCAGGGACAGAACTTTATCAGAACTTTAAACTGCCAGAAAACATTTGACTACAAAAAAAAAAAAAAAGTACTCATCACCATTGCTCTATTTCTCCATTTCTCCATTTTAACAACCCAGCAGCAAAGGGAGTCTCATAACGCCTTCCACACCACGTGAGGCCCGAGTGCACCCTTCACCCGGCACACTGACCTGACTCTTCTGCTCCACAGCCTTGGACTTTCTCCCCTCGAAGGCCCAGCCCAGGAGGCTTATCACTCAAATTACCAAAGCTGCTTCAATAAAACCTTGCTTTTGCACTTGAGCAAGGTGCAATTTTCAAGTATTTCCTGCCTGGCACCAATCAAAGCATAGAGAAAAGCACGAGCTGTTTCAGTACACTACCAGAAAACCACATCCTTGTTTTCTCTGAAGCAATTTCAATTCCGCCTGATGTTCATAATTTACACCTGCCCATCTTCCCTGCTAAATGTCCAGAACCTGACTTGCGAATCTAGCAATCTCTCCAAGGATCCCTCCCTGCAGGCAGAGCCCAGGAGCACGGGGGAAGGAAGGCACAGCCGCAGGTACAAGATTCCAGCAGAAATAGGCTGAGGAAGGAAGTACAGCTTTTTACAGCTTTTACTCTGCTCCTGGGAATGCTGCCAGGAAGAACCGAGCCCTGCCCAATGCTGGGCTGAGCCAGCCTAAAATCACTGCAATCCACGTGTTCACCCAACTGCTTCTGGAAAAACTCACACAGAAATGCTCAAGGAGACCTGCTCCTGCTCCCCGTGCCTCAGCGTCTCCTCAGACGTGGATTAAAGTAAAGCCTCTCTCTCCTTGGACAGTGGGAGGCAAACAAAAGCCCTGTAAAGGCTTAAGGGCAGTCCTCCATCCTCCCTGCTTACACAAGGCCATGCAAGGAGACAAGGCAAGGAGCCCAAGCTTATCACAGATCTGCAACCCACTGCTGTCTGACTTCAGTGTCCGGCCCTAAGGCTGAGACATTCCCAAGTCGCTCTCTAGAACCTCTCACCGCGTTCTGTCGCTAAAAATAGCTGATCCTTCAGCGCAGGCACACACAGACTCCCTCCCTCCCTCGCACTGCCGCTTGACCCTGGAGCAGCGGCTGCTGCGGGATGCTGGACGCGCTCGCCAGAGCACTGTCCCTGGGTCAGGACAGCCAGAGCACCTCAGCGAGGCTCCGAGCAGCAGCCTGGCCTTGTGAAGAAGCTCCAAACCAAGGCAGTGAGCGAACCGGCCCCGTTACCGCTCACAACGCTAACACACACAAACGCCTTCAAAATCTCACATAAGGAGAACTGCTTCCCCTGCTCCCACCTAGGGCCGGCTCCGAGGGGCTCACACACTGACCAGCGCTGAAAACCCCTAATCCGGAATTTAACCTTGCACCGAGCGCGCTCCTGCCCCCAGCAAGGACCCCCCGGCAGAGAACCACCCCCGGGCCGTGGCGCTTCCCGGGCGGAGGCTGCGGGACGCCGAAGGAGCGGCGGCCGCGGGTGCCCGCCCGGCCCGGCGCCCCCCGCCCCATTCATTCCGCGCCCGCCCAGCGCCGCCGCACTCACCGCCGCGCTGTGGGCCGGCGGGACGCGGGGGCCAGGGCTCGGCACGGAGCCCAGCGGCGGCGCCCGGCGGCACCAGGAGCCGCTCCGCCACCACCACCGCAAGGCCATGGTGTCCCCCAGCCCCGCCGCGCCAGCACCGCCTCCCGGCACCGCCGCGACCCGGACGCGGAAGCCCCGCGCCGCCACCGCCCTCCGGCCCGGTGCCGGGCGGGCACCCCAACGCCCTCTTTGGGGGCGGGAGACCTCAGGCCGGGTTCGTGGGCGGCTCTGGAAGGCGCGGTCTGCGGACATGTGGTGGCGGCCCTGGCTGCCCGCCTGCCTGGCCTGGGGCTGTGTGGCCGCGCTGTGCGGCTCCCGCGGGCTCTGCCCGGCCCCGAACGCCTCCCGCCCTCAGCCGGGTCAGTGCCCGCGGCGCCGGGCGGCGGAGCTCTGCGCCTGGGCCCTGTCCTCCGACAGCCTCCTAGGTACGGCCTGCCCGGTCCCGGGGCTGTGTACTCCTGCCCTGCCCAGTCCCGCGGTCTGTACATCTGTTCTGCCCGGTCCCGGGGCTCTGTACTCCTGCCCTGCCCGGCGATTTTGCTTGTTGAGTTGTAGCAGCTCCTGAAGCAGTAATTAAGACCTGATACACACAGTCAAATATAGTTTTAAAGTTAAAACTAAATTGGTCATAAGGAGCTTCCTCCCCCTTCCGAGTCCCACTTATGTGTTAAGGCAGAGTTGATAACCTGACACATCTCTGGAAGTACACAAAGCATTCTAGCTCTCGGGCATACAAAACGTACTAATTGATATGATAACATTACAGAACTAATTTCATCAGGTGATGCAATTACTTATGAGCTTTAAGAAATAATCATCAGTGATTAATCTTGTGGCAGCTGGCTATAACAGGATCTGTCATTAGAGGTAGTGAGAAACACGGTTAGCAGCAAAGCTCCAAAGGGGGCTCTTTATGATGTTAGCTAACTTAAAATTTTTACAAAACAGTGTCTATGAGGTACTGAGATTTTATAATTAATGTGGAATTGTAAGATTGTTGCAAGCAAAAGTCCATAAAGATGGTAAACCACACTGGTTTAAAACAGTATTTGTCCTCTGTTACCACGGAAAAGGGCACAGAGTAGGTCTGAAGGAAGAATGAAGCACAGCTTCTGAGTACACATGTATGCTACAGCAAGATCTACATCTTCTCACCCATTTATTCACTGTTTACATTACTCAGAAAAGATTCATCTGTTTTCTTGGGTTGTGTGGTGATCATTGCTGCATATGGAATGTGCACAGCAGTTGTTGGTGCACAGTGACTTAAATTTGTTGCACTGCATTGTTCAGCTGTGGGGAAAGCTGAACTTTTCTGTCTCCTGCAGATATCTTTTAGGGTGTCTATAACTGAGTGCCACATCAAACTGCCCAGAGACTGTTCCAGTCACAGTCTATTTAATCTATTCTTAGAAATGATTTAGATCTTAAAACTAGAATGTCCTGATAGATTCTTTAAATCAGTCCTTTTCAGAAATTCCAAACAATAAAATCCTAAATTTATTTGGGCTTGCTTTTCATGAAGGCTTAGTATACATAGGTAAAGTTGTAATATTATAAGTTTTAATTGTTTTTAAAGCATTTTGGCTGAATTTAAGAGGAAGCATGTTAAGAATAATATGATTAATTATTTTTATACAGCATTTATTGTCTGTTTCATATTTACAGATCCTTTTCCAGTTGATGTGATCCAAGAAAATTATGTCCGTAATGTGAGAAATTGCATTTTTTCAGTTGTCTATCCTACACCTTTTAAATCTAGAGTTCGTCTTGTAGCTGTTTCAAAGGTTGGCTATTGTTTTTTTATTCCTCTCTAATTAGTAGAAATTAATAATACATGTACTAAAGTATATTTTAATATTCATATGCTGTTTATCCTGAAATATCTTTTCAATAAATACTTTAAACAAACAGAGCATTTAAAACATATTGTGAGATGTCTTTTAATGATGAAATCTGTAGAAAACATGTTCATTACTGCTGACAATTTGATAATATTCAAGTATTATTTTTTTTCTCCAGGATGTTCTTGAAAATATTTTGGATCTTGATATATCTGTCAAAGGATCACCTGATTTTCTGGAGTTCGTCAGTGGTGGGAAAGTGATATTTGGGTCTGTTCCACTGGCCCATAGGTATGGGGGTCACCAGGTAAGTATGGCACTCATTCCTCCAGGTGGAATTGTGTGGGTCTTTGTGAATTACACCTGGATAATACCTGTGAGTACATGAACACTTACTAACACTTTGATTGCAAACTTGTTCTTCATAATGGGCTGCAGGTGGAAAAGAACTATAATATCCTTCCACAGTACTCTGTTTACTTGCTCTGCTTTTGTTTATGCCTGAAGCAAATTATGTTTTTAACTTTCATTAGCTGCTGAGTCTGCTTAGCACCCCAGCAGCCTGGCCAACTATTAGTATCTAATACTAATAGCTCAGAGGAGTGGAGAAGGACAGAGCCTCACTGCAACACCATGATTACTAAGGTTCAAGTTTCATTGAAATGGCTATGATTATTCATGGAGAAGAATGTTAGAATTTTACTTGTAATTTCCAATTAAAAGAAACCAAAGCAAGCCATGTGGGTTTAAAGGCTCATTATACAAAAGACAGGTCTGTAGCTGTATGTTGTAGCTGGAAGGTAAAAAAAAAAAAAAGAAAGAGGATTACTGGTGGTACTGTGGTTTTCTGATTCATTTTTGGAGTGAGTATGGAAGTACAGCTTTAGGACTCAACATTTTAATGTGAGCAAATGTGTCTTTTGTGAGGACCTAGATTTAATATGTATTGTTTCAAGTATAACTTCTGTAAATGATAGAGAACAATAACTTGATTTTAATTTTTGTCAGTTTGGTAGCTGGGCAGGTCAGCTGGGGGATGGAAGAGCCCACTTGATCGGAGTATATACAAACAGGTGTGACTTTTTTTGAGTGTCTGATTGAACTCTGTGTTCAGTCTAGCTGACTCATGGTTAGCCTGAGGTCTGTTTTTCGAAATGCCAATGGTACTTTTGCAGGCATGGTGAGAGGTGGGAACTGCAGTTAAAAGGCTCAGGAAAGACCCCATACTCCAGGTTAGTTGCAGTTACTCTGTGTACTCTAAAACTGAATGTTTTCTTTTTGAAATTTGCTTTGATTTTATGACCTGGTCCTTATTTCTCTGTTCTCCATAGGAATGGTGATGGGAGAGCTGTGCTTCGCTCTTCTGTTCGAGAGTTTTTATGCAGTGAGGCCATGCACCATCTTGGAATTCCTACAAGCAGAGCTGCTAGGTATTTTTCTTTCCTTTGTTCAGAGTATACTAATTTACAGGTAATTTCATGACTGAGTTTTACTAAACATCAATAAAGCAGGGCAGTTAGTTCCCAAGATGAAAGATCTCTTCATATGTACACAATCAAAACAAAATATATTGTCCACAGATTTTTGGATAAAACTTTCCAATAATAATAAAATACAGCAATTAATTGCATCACATGGTTTGCTGGATTCTGGAAATACAACTTAACTTCAGTGTACTAAGGACTCATTTCTGTAAAGTCAATTCAAATTCTAGAATCTAGCCAACTAGGAAAATGTGGAAAGGGGCTATTTTTGTACTGCCATTTTTAAGATTGTAGGGGAGAATTGTCAGTCATATGAACAAATATTAATATTGACTGAATGTAAAACTCAATGTAGGCAATTATTCTCAATTCTTTGTCTATGCAAACACCCCTTCAGCAAAGAGAGAGTTTGTAAAAAAAATTTTAAAACTAATTCTGTGTGAACCAAAGGAGACTAACACATTCATTCATTTGGATGATTTTCTCAGAATCAAGTAACTGAATATTTTCAGATGATCACATTTAAAATACCAAGTTCATTTTGTGTTCCAAATAGTCTGAAGTCTGTACTGCAGTGTTTCAGGCTTTAGAGAAAGCAAATGTTCTGCAGAAAAGGCCTGTACTCAGCTGCCACATGGCTAGGTGTCTGCATTTGCAAAGTGTCTGCAAATCTCTTTAGCATTAGTTCTAACTCATTTGCTCTGTTGAAGTGCAGTGTTTGTAAATGACATTTTTGATGGTTTATTCACTGACTTCATCTTGAGACTCTTTGCTGTTGGCTGTTAATGCAGAACTTTAAATCTGTCTGAATATCAGCAGGAAATAATTTGGCAGGTTAGAGCCTCTCTTTGCTGTCATCTCAACAAATTGTTCAGGGCAAAACCAGTATGAAATTACCCCTTTACTGTGCACGAATTCTACTGAGCACACAGTGTGCTTTAGCTCTCTGCTGGCAGATTGGTTAAATGCCTGCCTCCCTTGACTGTTGTACAAGCTCTGCAGACTGTTTGCAAGACTTAATTTGGAAAAACCCCAGCTGACAGCCATATTCTTCCCGATGGGGAGCTGTTGTACTGGGGCTGGTGGGATGCACTTAACAGAGGTCTTGTCAAGTCTTGGCAGAAGTGGGAGGAAAAACCTTATGGCTTATCCCAGAACACCCAGCAGGTTGGTTTGCTCTATTAATTTTAAGTACTGTGTTCCCAATGGGGTGCTCCAGTTTATGACTATACTGCCAGATACAGAACACTTCATACAGTACCATTTTAGTCACATACTGAGGCTGCCAGTGAGCAGTGTTACCTGTTAAGTCAGAAGAGTGAGCCAATATGCATTGGCTTCAGTTTTGAGTGTCTTTACTTGCATGGGACTTGATGTTCATGCAGAACAGCAGGCAGAGCACTGGGAGTGTAAAGTCAAGCCCT